TAAGTAACTTTTCCAAATCACGGCTATTGAACACCAAATATTTGTTCCATGGCCTTCTGAAAAGGATAATGTAAAGTTTTTCATCTACTTACACAGGTTTTATTTATAATCTTGGGATGATTCCTTTAGTAGAAAGAGACCTAATTTGAAGGCAAAAAGATCTATATTCCTAGTCAGTACTTAGCACAACATCTAGCATCTCATAACCTCTCAATGCAGAAATGAAAGTTTCTAGGTCTTCCACTTTTTACCTTGAAAAACTGTTATCAGATAGCTGGATCCCAGTTACTCTATTTATAAAATAAAACAAATACTTGCCCTGGCTACTGTAAGATAGAGAAAAATATTAAATTTGAAAGTTCTTTATGAATTATAAAATCCCATACAACTATAACAGGACATTAATAATGATTATAAGGAAAGGGTTGGGCAAATTCCCACCAAATGAGGTTATCAGGTAGTAATCCTAAGAGTGGTAGGGGGGCGGGCTACAACTTCTGCTGACACAACTCCCCCACTCTTCCTCTCCCATCCACAGGCCAATCGCCTTGTCCTTCAGAAGACATACTTCCTTATAAAAGCTTTCATTTTTATTAATGATAACACTATTCTCCCACACCACGCACACAAATCACTCATGGGCTTTCCTTCTTTTCCTTTTGTAAATTTGTGAAAAGATCAGATGGATTTAGATGAATTTCATCTTTCTAATAGCCATGTATATACATATTCTCAGCACTGAAAAGGGGTTTTAAGTAGGCAGTAGGAGTCTACCAAATCTAGACGTGGTCTCATCTTTTCAAGACCCAGGTACCTTCTGCCCTGCTCAATGGCTTGATGACACACACACTAGAAATGTACCTTAGATGCATAATACTCTATGAGTGTGCCTCCTCCCTAATGGATAGACAGAACACCCCACAGAAATACTCTGGGTCAATCTGGGGGCAGAGAAAAACAAACCCAGTACTTTCAAAGTATTTTTTTTCCTAACAGTCTTCTTGTAAGCACATCCCATCCAATTTCAAAGATACACATGCAATTCTTGTCTTTTCATAAAAGTCTCTCAAGAGTTGGATCCTGAAAGATCCTGATTCCTGCTGTTGTTCCCCATTCCAGCTCTCCTGCCTGCTGTGGCTTCTCAACATTTCCAAATATAAAACTGATTAATTATGAATGCTGTGGCTTATCTGACCCACATCTTACCTTACTCTTTGCTCCTTTGGAATTCCATTCCATAGTCAGAGGAATATCAAGTTCAGAAAATAAGGTTTCCCTGACATCCATCCTGAAGTTTCCTCCTGCAAGTCTTATCCTTTTACTTCTATGGGCCATACTATATAACTCCTCCTCTTCCCTGCCTCTCCTTCTTCAGAGATTTGTAGATTGTTACTAGGGCTTTCCCTTCATTGTCACTTTGCTCAGTCATATATATTTAATTCTTTTCATCTTTCACCATAAATCGGTCCCTTCAACTCATAATTCAGTTATCTGCTCTTCTCTGGACTAGTTCCAACTCTCCAAATTCACCTCAAATAACTGATATTCCTTCTGGGAGCTCCAATTTCCTCTCTATCTTCCTTGGCTCTCTTTGCCCTCTCCAGAAATAAAATTGGAAGGCACTGACAGATATGTGAGGTTAAGGGTCAGGTGTATTGCATTGCATACCACTACTTTAAATTTCTCAGGCCTCTCCATAGCACATGTAAAATCCCCAGTTGTATATCCCCTTTCCTGGAGTGAGAAGGGGAGTGCTTATAGGGAAACAAGCCCTCCTATCCCACAAGTCAAAATCCTCTAAGCCTCCCTCTGCCTGAGGGATGGCAGAAGCAAGATGTCAAAACATCCAAAAAACAGGTTATAAAGTGGAGTTCTGAGCAATGCGGCTGCCTCCAGGCAGATGTCTTTTCTGAGGTTTTGACTGTCCCAGAATGGTATGTCCAAGTTCATACAGTCCCAGAAATGATCTTTCTACCCTCTTCTCCATGAATGAGTGCTGTGGGGAGCTGCTTCAGACTTTGAAATAGTGATCCCATTTATGAATTCAAAGCAACCCACAAAGAAAACACATTTGCATGTCATGCATTATAAGGCCACTCAGCTCTCCTTTTGTCCTCTCAGACATCCCAAACCACAAGCAACAGAGTTTTTGCTTTGTGCTGACTAGTGTGCTTTTTCATTTATATCACATCTCTAGTCATGGTCCCGTTCAGATTCAGGAAGCTATCTTCAGTCTGAAACAAATGGGTTGCTTTAGGCCACCCACCACTCTTCCCTCCTCATAATTAGCCCCATCATCATGCGTGTGTCCCTCTAGGCCAGACCATCAGCATTTGGGCAGAAGCAGGGAGAAATAAGCTGAGTTGTGCCCATTTTCCCTTTGTATATTTGAAGATCCTATTTAACACAGAAGAGTTAAATGCCTTTTCTACAAAACAGAACCTATATAAAAGGAATAAGCCTATTTCCTAAAACATAATAAATAGTAAAATGAATCCAAGTGTGAGAACCTAATGAATGGAACCACCATGATGTATGTTGCCTCAAATATGAAACATGATAGAACAGAGTGTGTCCACTCCCTCCATGGGGAGGTCTGCGGTGGAAACTGTATGGGGAGGCAGTAAGGCAAGAGGCTAGTCTGGCATGGCCAGCTGCCTAAGTGAAAACAGCATATGCCTCAGAGCAGAGCGCCCAGCCTGTTCCAAGTGTGATCACCACAAGGCCTGAAGTGCTTTTCAATAAGCTGTCTGTCTCTCTGGAGGTCATGGGGAGCTCATCCAGTTACACTTAGTGTCTTATTTGATCCCATCAATAATCATTTGATCCCAATGCTGCTGAAAAATGCTTGGCCAAAATTTCTAGCCTTTTAATGACAGAATCCTGGCTCTTTCTGAAAACAGCATTGCTAGATGTGTCAAATGATGCATAAGGCCTTGGTCCAACTGCCAAATGGACTGTGATGCCAGGGGAGGACTTGGGACACTCACAGAGCTTCCCTGCTGTCAGGAGCAAAGCAGTTCTTGAAGCACACTCCTCTCTACATGAAACTCCCCTACTCAGCAGCTTCAACTCCTTACCTAAGGCTTGACTGGAATATATGCTCCACATGCATTAAACATGGGACTCTTCAGAGACACCCACTGATAACTTCATGCCACCTGCCTGTTTATAGTAGGCAGGTTCAGGGCTGTAGAAAGAACCCCTGTTGTCTGTCACCAACATCTCACAATAGCTGATCTAGACTGCTGGGCCTATGGCCATTTAATAAGAGGTGATAAGAAAGCTCGAGAGATGCTCATAGAAATGAAAGTAGAAGAAAACCCACATTCCCAGAGAAGTCATTTTTTTACCCATTACAAATACATTAGGTGCTAAAAGAGAATATTGCATGTATAAACCACTGAAGCCATGATGATGTTACGCACAGCTGTTCTTCAAAAAAGTATCTGTGGAGAGACAACCGTATTGTTCTCCTATCTCAGTTCACAGGAGGCTCTATCAAACTCATCTGACCCTGCTTCTTACTATGAAGTCTGCCATTCTTAATATGAATTCTGGCATTGAACACAAAGGAGTCATTTTAGGTGCCAAGGCCACAAATACTAATGCTGAAATATGCATCCAGACTTTGTTTTCCTTGGGAACCACATACCAGTATGTTTTTCATGCTATGAGTGAAAAACCTCAGCTTCTATATACCCCTGCTGTGTGATAGTACTGGGCATGTGTGGGAGTATATGTGTGTGCCGGGACAAGCATGGTAGATACTTGTAGCTCTACAGTGGGCTCTTTTCAGTGCTTTCTATCCAATTAATACTAGTCATTAGTAACCAGTGGAGCATAAAAATTTCATTTATTTCTGATGATAAGAATGGTAGAAAAGATGCTGGGTTTGCTCAATGGAATTAGTGTAGGCTTTTAAAAAGGCAAGATTTCTTTTCTGTGTCTTCTCATTCATTTACATTGTGTATTTTATTCACTGAGTCTTTCCCCAGTGGTATTACAAGAGAAACATCCATTCAAAACCACCTGGTTTTCCAGCCAAAGAATACTATGAGAAGAGTTAGAAGTAAGTGCCTGCACACACACCCCTGATTCAGTGAATATGAGAAGAAAATGAGAGTAAATGAAACAGAAACCTCATTTCAGGAATCTCTAGCAGAGAGATCTGCAGTGAAACAGGCCTGCCAAAGACTGCCATCCAGAGCTGCTGGTGCAGACATTCAAGCTAAGAACTGGAGGGAAGGTTGGGGAGCAAGAGAAGAACTATTGTCTCTTCTGGCTTCACAGTGACTATCCCAAAGGGAGAGAATCTTGACAACTCTGATCCCTCTCTTCACACCTCCCTCTTGTTCCTAGTTCCATGTTCCTTAGTTCCTCTGGGGCTCTCCCAACAACATCTGAGAGAAAAAACAAGAGTCTGAGAGTGGATAGCTGACAAGGGTTGGAGAGAGGGAGCAGAACAAATTAATGAAGAAGCAATCTGTACCATAAGGCAACATTTGAAGGAAACGTCTAGGGAAGATTCAACCATATGAAGAAGCGTTCTACATTCTCTGAGAAAGTGTACCACATCCCCTGTATCTACGGAGGCCAGGAAGAGGAACAAGGGGAAGGGAAGATGATCTTGAGATCTAGAGCTAAGCTTGGAACATAGAAGTAATAAGGACATTTCAACTGTCCCAGGGGCCCCCTGTTAAAAGTGCATCCAATTTTGGCTGGGACCCCGTGTAAGTCGGTAGAAAGAGGCATTCTGCCAAGAACAGAAAACTTTTCTCCCAGCTTGGTTGATGGAGAGGAAGGAAAACCCTTGGGGGAGTGACTGTTCAGCAAGAAAATAAGAAAATATGGTGTAACTGTGGGAGGAGATTTGCGGAAGGAAGAAAGAGCTGAGAACCAGAGGCTAGGGTTTGAGAAATGGGGATTAGTTGATAGTGGCTGCAAATTGATGTGCCTAAAAATACAAATCCCGACACGTTCAGGCGGGAGCTGCTCACCGGTCCCCAAGATCTGGAAGAGAAGGCGGGGCTGGGAGGCACGGATCGCCGCCGACAGCCTTCCCTCTCTGCCCACTTCCGAAGCCTTCTTCTCGGGCATCAGGCGGATCCTCAACCGCCCTTCGCCGTGGCGAATCCACCAGCTGAACAGCTCGCTGAGGTTGAACTGGAGCAGTCCCGCAGTCACCTCCTCTGGGGGCCCGACGCAGCCCTCAAGGATCGCCTCCTCTCCCAGCTCCAGCACCAGCTGCTTGGCGCGCCGGAGCTTGCGAACCGAGCCGCCCTTCAGCACCCTGGTCAGCGTCCGTGCCTGGGCAGCGGCTGGCGAGCTGGTGCCTTCCGTCCAGGAGACCCAGGGCGGTGGCCCCACCAGCCTAAGAAGTGGAGCGCAGTCGAGAGCCAAGGAGCCGCGCGCCTCAGGCCGGCCAGCCCTCGACTCCAAGGAGGACGAAGGCGGCAACAGCAGGTCCCGGGCATAGGCGCGGAAGAGCGAGGGCACCACAAAGTCCACTGCCAGGCTCTTCCTCTGCAGACGTGAGTAGCTGAGCGGCTCCCGAGGCTGCAGAGCCGGCCCCACGGCGGGAGAGCCCACGAGCTGGCCAGTCCCGGTCCCGGTCCAAGTCCCGGTTCCGGTCCCGGAGCCCAAGGCTGAAAGCAGCAGTAGCGGCAGCCCTAGGAGCCCTAAGGCTCCCATCCCGCCAGAGAAGCGTTGTTTATATTAGTCTCCCGACTCTCCGGGATCCAGCCTCGCCCTTCACTTCCCCTCAAATGAGAAGGGGCTCCGAATAGTCCTTGGTCCTGAAGAGCTCCTTCCACCTGATCTCTGGGGGATTATGCGTGCACTTGATTCTCTTAGCTTTCCTCCAACTGCAAGGAGGCCAGCAGGAGTCTGAATAAAATGGGGCCGGAGGCTCAGGGGCGTGTCTAGAGACCTTGAGCGCCTCAGGCTCAGCAGCTGGGACCCTGTGCCTCTGGAGCGCCGGGACGAGTGCCGCGCCCCCGTCTGTAGCTTGCTGCTTTCCGGAACAAGAGAAACTACTATGGTTGAAGGGAGGTGGCGATGGGGTGCTGTCCTCTCCTGCCCCCCGCAGCCTGAGCTGTGGTCTGTTCGAGCTCTCCAGCAGCCTCCAACCCTCTGCAACTTTCCAGCTAGAAACGATGGTTCCGAGCGTTCTGCTGTCTGAGCTCCTTCCTCAGCGCTTCTTTCGGCTTCTGAGCTCCTCTTCCTTAGTGTAGGGGAAAACCCGGGGGCAGGGGTTGTTTTCTCGAGCACCCTTCTGCAAACCTCCGCAGCGGGAAGTCTGCGGATTGCACTGCCCGCTGAACTTCTGGGCTTGAATCGAGCCCCCGCACTGTGAAGCAGGGGCTCAGGCCGCCGCGGCGCAAGTTTGCAGCGTCCTTCCTCTCCTCCTGCGTTCGTCTGCTCAGAGTTCTCAGGCACCGAAGCGGCCCCGGCAGCAGCAGCAGCAGCCGAGTGAAAGCGTTCTGGGCAAAAGAGCCCGAAATCTTGTTGCCCCCTCCTCACCCATCGGCAGCCCCCGTGGCTTCAGTTGGCTGCACAGAGGGCGGCCGGAAGGCGCCTCGATTCTGCGCGGACCTCCGGACAGCGGCGACAGGATGTGCCAGCTGCTACCTCCGCTGCCACCCCCGGAGCCGCTGGATCGCATCTGCCGGGGCGCCCGCCACTTGCAGCTGGCTGAGCCCAGAGCTCGCGCCGGCAGGGGGCGGGGCCGCAGGGGGGGCGGAGCTCGAACGCCAACTCCGCAGGCCCGCCCCGCCCCGCTTGCACCCGCCAACCAATGGCGCGGCGAGATAGGCTCCTATGCAAATCTGCAGAGGCCTGGGCATTCATTGAGAAAAGCATAGGGCCCGCCCGGCCCTCCCACCATCGTCGCTCTCCCCTTTCTCCTTCCTCCCCTTCCTCCAGATTTCCCTGCCCTATTTCTCTGTTATGTGAACAGGACCGTGTTTTGGATAAATGGGAGGTCTGGAAGAGGCCTTTGCAATCAAGCACTCTCCCTAATTATGCATTTAAAAAATTAAAACGGGTCCGACTTCAGAAAAGCTGTTTCTAAAATAAAACTGGAGGCGAGGGGGAAAGGAGAAGTGGGAGGAGGGGCAGCACGACGTTGCCAAATCCGAGAACAGCTTGGAATAGGGCCCTGTGACAGAATCTGCTCTGACCCTTCCTTTATTTAAATGCATTCCTGGGAACCTGACGGTTCTGCCATCGACACGAGAAAAGTTAGCAGCGTGGGGGTAGAGAGTGACGGTGATCTCAAAGAATTCTTCAGCTACAGCGAATACATTTCAAACCTGTCAGTCACCCCGTGTTTTCTCAGAACGTCGCTTGAACATGTGTCACCTCCTTTCCTTTCTGCAAGGTAAATATTTTAAATTTCACCTTTAGAGATGAGAAAACTGAGTCATAGAGATGGTAATTGATTTTCCTTTGGTCACATAGTCATACGTGCGTCCCAGGCCCTCTCACTCTTATGCTTTTATTCATACTGCTTTACCATGCCTCCATGAGTAACAGGCCAAGAAGATCTGAGGGTGACTTAGCTGTAAGGAATAATAACCGAATACTTGCTTACAGCCTTAGGAGTTAGAGTTCAGAACCAAAGACCATTTTTTAGTCATCTGTGAAGTAAGGACTGTACCTCTGGTCTCTTTCCCTTTATCTCTCCAGAACTGCCAACACAGAACTCAGAGAATAGCTGTATATATAACAAGTGGTTCACTAGAACCAGAAACAAAACTAGTCTTCAGTTCACACAAATCCCTCCATTCCTTCTTCTCAAAGGTTGATCGCCAGGCCTTGTGCTGTGGGAGCAAAACATAAGGTATGATCCTTTCTTGAGGAGCTCAAAGCCTGACAGATAGCAGAGAAGCTTCCTTATAAAATCAGAACACAAAGTAAAGTTTAATCTTCCTCGCTGAATTGCAGAGTGAGTGCTGCAAAAACATGGCCACTAACTCATAGGAGGTGGTAGCCAAGCAGGGCTTCTGTTCTCACAGGCTGGGTTACTTAGAGCATGTGGCATTGCCTTTGGAAACCAGAAGACCTAATGACAAAAGAAAATTGATTCTTGGAATAATTTGCTTCCTGCTCTATTATTTGTCAACTTGCTTATTTTAACAATAACTGGCTTCTCCCTGGAACTCGATCTGGGTACCCTGACTTTAAAAGTTTAAGGGAAAGAATGGTCTGGTCCAAGGACTAAAATGGATACTCTTACCTTCATAGAGGAAGGGAGGGAGGGAGAAATAGAAAGAGAAGAGGAAGGAAAGGGCATAGAAGCTAATACTTGGAAAGGATATGTTGGTTAATACTTTCCTAGTATGTGAGCATATTTGTTTGCATTTTCATCAGATTTCACTGGTGTGCAGACTGATGGAAGAATAATTTTTATCAGAAATGTTTAAAAGACTCAAATGTAGGTCCTTATTCCACTCCATTCCTTATTCTCTACATAATTCTTGTCCAAAGTCAAATTGACTAGAGTAATTTGTTAAGAACTGTGAATCTTCTGCTACAATCAGCGGCCACTAGGGGGCTGCAGAGACTTGAAACTTCAGATGAGCCACCAGGGTTTAACCTCCCAGATAATGGGAGTTGTCAGTCAGGGACCACTGCCTTTGCAGGCAAGGGACGCAGGGCTCAGTTAATTCTCATACTTTTATAAATCCTCTCAAATTTCCCCTGAAGAAGAAAAAGTGCTTCTCCCTGTACATTAAATCACACCAAATTTCAAAAGTGTTACTCCCTTTTTGTTAATTTTAAAAAGAAGGCACGAATGAGTATTGATAGTCTATTAGTCATTATATGCTTGCACCTGTAGGAGTGTGTGTGTGCGTGTGTGCGTGCGTGCGTGCATGCACGTATGTGTGTGTCAAATCACACAGTGGCCTTTTGGAGAAAGGTATATATTATTATTTCCATTACAGAGACAAAAGAGTTAAGGATCAGAGAGACAAAATAATTTGCCCAAGGTCAAATAGCAAGTAAATAACAGCAATGGAATCCCAACCAATGACTCTTTTTGTCCAAAATTTACACATTCCTCTGGAACAAATTAGGCCTTTTCCTCATGCCTACATCTATAATGTAGATATCACTGCTATCTAGAGGAAGGGAGATGAGAAAGAGCAGTTAAGACTAAGTAGGGGAAATACAGACAGGGATAAACAGCATGAGCCAGAGTGAGAGCTAACATGTGTCACACACTTATTTTCAGCCAGCATATTTCAAAATAATTTCCATGCTTTATCTAAGATTCGCAGTAAACTACGAGGGGAAGTAATAGTATCTCTTTTTTACAGATCACAAATGGAAGCTCAGAGAGAGTGACTTCCCAAGAAGACTACACAGGGAACAAGATTTGTTAAATGATAAGAACCTTGGTATCGGACAAAGAAGTCCATGACTTGAAATCCTGGGCAATCTTACAAGAGAGAAAATGGAGTGGGATGGAATAGATTGAGGTGGGCAGAGGTGAGCAGAGAAAGAAACTAAAAGCCCAACTGAAAAAGGTAGAAGCAAGGAGGGGGGGAGGTGAGGAGGGGACAGACGGGATACTGGAAGCCCTAAAGACACAGTTAATGACGTGAGCCGCTGGGAGTCACCTTGCCATTGACTTGAGCATATAAGCTGGAGAAAGAGGAATATGCATAGTCCATGTGTATCCATGTAGCAAGAGAAGAAAGGCCCAAGTTGCACAGTGAGAGCACTGAGACTCTTCAGGAAACTCCCAATTTCTGAAAACATCGAAATAGACACCTCGGTGGCGGAGGGAGGCAGGGATTCTCTATAAGGGAAGCAGTAATAAAAACTCATCTGAAATCCAGGCAATGTGACTTAAGGCAAAAGACATCTCACAATTGTAAAACCTGACTGAGACCTACAGGGTTAATTAAGTAAGGCATCCAGTTGGTCAAGGAGGAGGAAGAGGAGGAGGAGGGAGCAAAAGAAGGAAAACGGGAAGAGAAGCAGGAGAAATAAGAAGAAAGAGAAAAAAAGGCAAAAGAAAAATCAGGAAGTCAAACTGAAACTAGGCCTTATTAGATACTCAGGGTTAAGACATTTGGGAATCCCAATTGGAATAGCTTACCTGGGCCAAGATCAGGAATTGGGACTCGAAGAAACATTCAAATGAACTAGAGATTTGTGTTCAGGAAACTGGCTTTCAACCAAAGCCTTGCTTAAGAGGCTGGATGACCTTAGGAAAACACTTGCTTTCTCTGGGCTCAAGTATCAAATTAGAAGAAGGACCAGGTATCATCTTTAAGACACACATCTGTTCTGAAATTCTGTGTGAGACTGTCCACGTGGCCAAAAGTTCTCACCCAAGACTGGGGACCGGAGTTGACAGGTTCTAGAAGGAGACTATGAACTTGCAGGGGAACCAGGAAATGATCCTGGGCCTACAGCTAGCCAGAGAAAAGTGAAAATAAAACAAAAAACTTCTTTTAAAAAACGTCTCTGCCACTAGACAAACCTGAGCTTTGACTCTATAGCCTGCGATTGCTGACCAGTCATATATAAGATATCTTCTGGTGATTATCATGCTAAGAGGAAAGTAATTAACTTAACTACTATTTATTAGGTACCTACTGTGTGCTTGGTTTTGCATGAAGTACTAAGGAGAGAGACTGTGGTAAGTTAAACAGTCAGGGATCCTAACATCATGC